GTATATTGTTTATAGCGGCTTTAAGATATTTTGTAATTGCTGCAAAATAAACGGAAAATAGAGGAAAAAAAGTTAAAAAAATCATTTAAAATTAATAAAAATCCCAAATCCAATTCCGAAAACAACGGTCGTATGTTGTTTGGAAAATCTTTCTTTTAATATTCGCAATAATTTTAAAATGGGAAACGTACGATTTTAAACCCGGTTGGCTAATTAATACGGGCGACAATTTTACGAATTTCATTTATTTATAAATCGCGGTCGATATTCAGTGCCACGACTGTACACTGAACACAACGTTTCATTCATTCGTAGGGTCGACCACTGACTGTCTCGGGCTTTTCTTTTTCTTTCTTCTACATTGTAAACTTTTTTTTGGAACACATGGTTAGCATTTCCGCTCAGAAAGCTTACATTAGTTTCTATGCGTAAAGATGAGAGGATTTACACTTTGGTCGGGACAGAGAGAAAATGTCCTGCTCGAAATGAAAAAGTTACCGGAGCTTTTACGCGTCGTGATGACGTTACGTCTCCGTAATTTTAATTAAATTAAAAAAGCTTTTGCTCGGCAAATGTCTTTCTCAAAGCATTCTCGTAGTGGAAATAAAATACGATTGTAATCGTCAGTGACGTCATCGCGTCCATAACTAAGACACCCTGTATACAGGGTGTTCGGAAACTTGGAGGAAAGATTCAACGTGGTAAAATAATGGTCGGAAGTCATGTGACAAAAATTCGAAATCGTAATAGTTTCCTAGTTACAGCTTGTCAAAATGGGGGGCTTAATTCACTACGGAATAAGCTAGTATTTTACACGCAGCCTTGATTTAGTAAAATTCATCGTTACAAAACAAAGGTGTTTCTTTACCTTTACCTAAAACATTTTTTAAATTTTCCCTGTATTTGATTTATTTAGAGTGATATTGCTAAATAGAACAGATTGCCTTAAGCACAATCACAAATCTTCAAAACTCTGTTACTCTTGTTTTAATCGATAAGTGTTATTGTTTAGGCACCAATCAACTTTGTTGAAAATAAAAAATTATTAATAATAGTCCGCCGTTCATTTCTAAGCATTTTCTTATACATTTCTCTATTTTTCTATCTTAAGACTCTGTTTATAAGATTTATTTATCCACAACCACAAGTTGTCATAAATTGTTGCCGTAAATATGTCTTTTTTCTTTTGTACTACTGACGCCATTTGTTGTAAATACGTTTTATGTAAAAAATGGCTAAATAAATCTATCTATCTATTCTATTAAAGAAAAATCTGAAAACCTCTAGAAATCTTTAAACAGTCAATTTTAACCGCCACTCACGTCTTTACCTTTTACCATTATGGGAATCAGTCACCCGAGACAATTTTCGTGTCCCTCAAACAGAGAGTGGAATCCAAATCAGTTTCATTCAAGCTCTGAAGAAGCCAACAGGATGATTGGCGAAACGTCAGCAATTTCGACTAAGCACAAACCGACGCAGGAGGAATCCAGAAGTTTTGTAAAAAGCATTACAGTAGTTTCTTTGAAAAAAATATTGATAAGTGTTATCGTTTAGGCACAAATCAACTTTTTTTATTCTCGGCCCGAACATTAAACAAAAAATTATTAATAATAGTCCGCCGTTCATTTCTAAACATTTTCTTATACATTTGGAAAAAATGATGTCGAACATGAAAAAATACGCCTAACTTATTTCTAATGATTTCAGTTTTTAATGTTCCGCGATGCATATTTCGAAAATTTACAATACCATCCCGACTGAAAGCAACCTCGTTAGTAAACAAAAGGACATTTAAGAATTGCGAGTAATTTTGAATTTTTCCTAAAATTTGATTGCATAAAATTACTCTCAGTTGCTCATCACGTTCATACAGTGCTTAAACCCTTTGAACATGAACATTTTTAGACAAAACTTTCCAAACTGTAGAGCAAGCAGTTCTTTCCTGAGCACCAAGTTTTCTCGTATGCGTTGAAGTATTCTTTCTTCTCTTGCAGCGGTTCTTTTATACCTTGGTCTTCCTTTATTCATATTATCATATGATCCTCTTTCATCAAGTCTTCTATGTATGCTAATGAATGTCTTGGCAGATCGGACGGTTCTATTGGGATAAATCTCGATGTGCTTGATCTGCATTTCAATTTGCTCTTCCTTGGCAAAAATGCATATCGCGATTTCAGTATTTCAATACTCCTGATGCGCTATCACAGTGGCAGTTGGATAATAAGCTGTTTTAATAATAATAATAATAAGTAGCCTTTATTCTAACAAAAAAAAAACAATATACAATATTAATATTTGTCAACGAAAAATAAGCAGATAGCTCAAAAGCGGCGAGTCTAGCTTTAAATAGCTGCTGTACTGAACCGCCGAACAACTATTTATATAATTAATAAATTGCGCACTATTTATTGAAATAAAAAATGGATAGACAACAAATAAAATACGAAAAATAGCTGCAAAATCGGAAGAACAACCAAACTCTACTACACACTATAGAAAATGCAATTGAAGATCAAGAATTTGATAACTCAATATAATCCCTTGCTAATAACGTAATTCGCAACACATTATTAGGAAAACTGTATTTGGAACAAATGATCTTTCTACCTTTTTTTAAGTGTATATAAATTTAAGTTACTGAATTCCTGTGACAAGGAATTATAAACACGAATTGCGTTGAATGTGAAAGATCTACTAAACAAGGCACTCTGATGATGTGGCATCGTTAGTCTGTACCTGGATCTTACATTCAGAGATTGGATAGTACTCCTCGGAGTAATCCGCTTTCTCAGCAAAGTGGGTGAATCGAGGTTATGGATAATTTTCATAACGAATTTGTTGAAATGAAAAGCTCTGCTTTGTTTCATTTTAAGGCTATTAAGTTGACGATATGTAGCAGATACATGGTCATATTTTCGAAGGCCCATAACAAAACGAACACAAGCAAAAAACTATACACTACTTCGCAGTAGTTAAAAATTGAGCGAACAAGTGACTCACATAATGGTTTCCTTAGTCTAAAATTTAAAATATGTCTGTCACTATATAAGATTTTTAGTGAGAAATATGCCTTTTAAAAGATATTTTTTAAATATTCACGAAATCTTAGATCACAATCTATGATCACCGCCAATTTTTTTGCTGAATCGACAACGGAAAGCTTTAAATTATGGGCACGAGAAAGTTCACTAATCTTGTTAAGATCTTGATTTATAAATACCTCTGCATCCATGCTACTATTACAAACAAAACAGCAATACAATTGAGTATCGTCCGCATATGCCTGAACTTTGCAAAAGTTTAAAGATTTTAAAATGTCAGAAGTGTAAATCAAAAAAAATAACGGCCCCAAAATGGAATCTTGCGGCACCTCAGAGAAAATTTCAATTTCTTTCGAATATCTGCTATCACAATATATTTTCTGATATCGATTTGAAAAATTCGATTTAATCAGCTTTTTCAGTCAATCAATAGGTCATGGTTCACCGTATCGAATGCTTTCGAAAAATCCAAAAATAATAAGTTTTTTGTCAGTGGCTCGGACAATATCATCATCATCATCGCGCTTATAAGAGCATTCGCAGTACTTGACTTTAAAACTGCACTGACTTTCTGGTACTATTCTATTATCCATTATATAGGTATACATTTGATTATAAAGCACTTTTTCGTATATTTGTGATAGTGCTGGTAATATACTTATTATTCTTGCGTCATTGAAACTTGTCGGGGCATTATTTTTAGCTAATGGTTTTCCAAGTGACATTTTTCAGCTTTTTGGAAAATAGTTTACTTCTATGGAAGAATTAATGATGTGAGTGACGTACTTATCAATGAAAAAAAAAACTAATTTTTAACGGATTGTGACAATGACTTATTCAAATTTCATTTAGTCGTGTTAGGTAAAATCATGTTTACAGGCAAAATTTGAGCCGAGAATAAAAAAGTCGATTTGTGGCTAAACGATAACACTTATCGACTTAAAACAAGAGTAACAATTTTTGAGGATTTGTGATAGTGCTTAAGGCAACCTGTTCTATTGTGCAATATCAGTATAAATAAATAAAATGTTCTAAGTAAAGTGCCCTCTGGTGACGACAAATTTCTGAAGCATTTTTATTTTGTAGCGATGAATTGAAAATGAATTTTGACAAGCTGTAACTATAAACATGACTTCCTACCATTATTTTACCACGTTGAATCTTTCCTCCAAGTTTTCGAACACCGTGTATAGTCGAAACATGCCTTAATTGAAAAGTTATAGCCCCGGATCTCCCGCGTTTCACGGTTCCAAAATTTCGTCATGTTTTTCTGGAGGCAAATTTTTTTTTTGAAACTTTCAAATGTGGGTGTAGATTTCTACTTCCGTGCCAGATCTGAAGTCGATAGCCGCAAATTTTTTATATACCTCGGAATATTCAGAACACCCTGTACAAAATTGTTAGCTGTCTATACGCCTATAACCAACGAAATTGACTGCTGAAACACAGATTTCTCGTTTTTTTGCCAATTTTCATTAAAAGGGGAACCCAATTTTCAGTTTTTCTGCGAATACCTACCGGCACACGCTCTATATTTCGAAATTATCAAATATAGTGGTTTAGAGTACTGGATCTCGCGGATCTTGTGGTCCAACAAATTTTGAATACGTGATTTTTAATTTTTTATGATACTTCCCCCAAATTTGAAGTCGATTGCTTCAAATTTCGGACACTTATAGTGTTTCATAGCAATGTCCGATAAATAGTCGATAATCAAAAAAAAATGGCCGCCGAAGTTTGACCACACCGTGGACTCGTAAAAAAAAAACAAAAATACGCCGAAAAATGGGATTTTTTAAAAAATTGTTAACTTGGTTTAAATTATTTTCTTGGCGAATAATAAAATTATATTTGGTCAATTCGTAAAATCCGATCGAGGGGAAACAATTAGTAAAATTCTTCTTCTTTTATACTGTACTAATGTGAAAATAAACTGACAATTTTTTTTTGTTTCAGATTTGAACAGTTCCAGAAAGAAGCCCCAACAGAAGTAAGTACTCGTTTTTCCTTGTAGATAAGTTTCTGCTGTTGGATATCTTTAATTGAAATTTTATTTGTATTGAGTTAACTGTGGCCCCATAGAACAAAATTGCTTTCGAAAAATCGTCACTGGGCGGGGCCAGTTCGTAGCGGGTAATGCGAAGCAACTTTTTCTTATAAAAGGAAGAACTTCGCGGTTTCGTGTTTTAAAAAGACTCATTGTTTTTCTATCGTGCTCCTGCAGACCACTATGGAACTTTCGCAAAATCGATGTAATTTATTGTGCATGCACCCTGTATAAAATGACGTCATCGCGTCTTGCCAGCCCCCGAAATAGCGATTTCAATATGGATTTTTTCAAATATCCCGGGCGGAGTATGTGATAGACGAAAACCACAAATACAAAAATTGTAGCTCCTGATGCGGCCTATAACACTGTTTGAACCAATTAGCTTTCGAAAAATCGTCGCTGGGCGGTTCAATATGGATTTTTTCAAATATCCCGCGCAATACCAAATACCGCGAATATAAAAACTGTAGCTCTTGATGTGGCCTGACTCTGTTTAAACCCATTAGCCATATTTTTTACGATTTTGGATTTGCGGCTAATAATTTACTATGTAAAAGAACAATTTTCTAGGTCTCTAGGTCTTTTAGGTTTTTGCCTATAATTTGAAAACGCTGTGTATAATCGAAAAAATGCCCGAAATAAATGTTATTGTTCTGGATCTTCTGCGTCTGCCGGTTAAAGAATTTTGCCAATCGGATAAACGAATATGGCGGAAAACATATTTTTCTGGAAGCTAAAATTACCAAAAAAAAAATTTTTCAAACATTTTCTAAAAAATACTTGGTAAAATTTGATTGCACCCAATTCAGACCGTTTATTTGTGGACACGGACTTTTACTTCTCTGCTAAATTTGAAGTTGATATTTGCAAATTTAGGATACTTAAAACATTTCTCCTTTAACACGGAATATCGGGAACACCCTGTACAATAGGTGAAAACCTTAAATACAAAAGTTTTTGCTGTCTATGCGGGCTATATCGCAATATAAAAGAAAGTGAGATCTGAATTATAGTCTTTCAGTTATAACCAATTTCCCATAATAGGGGGACCCATTTTTCAGTTTTTTTGAATTTTGCGGCACACCCGGTATATTTTTGAAAAATCGTCAAGAATAAAAGTTTATAGCGCCGTATCTGCTTCTGGTTCAAAAATTTTTTTGGTCACGTAAACAGTTTTTGAAAAATGGTGTTGTTTGTAGACCCTTGCACGCGCGATTTTTTTATTTTTTTACAATACTTCCCGACCCCCCAGCCCACCCATTTTCAATAGGTTCCGTCACGGGGCAAAGCTGCATATATGTGCCAAATATGAAGTCGATTGCTTCAAATTTCGGGCACTTATCGTGTTTCATAGCAAGGTCCAATGTCGTCTACAGTCCGTCTTTGTCAAAACCTGCGAGATCTTTGACCGACCCCTAACGCTCGGAAAGTAGCTCTCTCAATCATGGCCAAACACATTGAAAATGGTGGTTTATCAACGAGCTTATCGTCAACCATTAGCCTGGTATTTGCGCTTAAGAACAAGGAGCCTCGTTGTGTGCCAGTATGTGAACTTTAATCGGAGGCTGTGCCGGTCAAAGATATACCGGGTGTCCCAGTAAGTAATTTGACAAAAAAAATCTAAAAATTTAAAGAATTTTTATTATTCGACTGTTATATTATTAGGTTATATTGTTGTAGTGTCTCAAGATAAACGGCAGACAGCATAACTTAAACATAACATAACAAATTACAAACATCTGTAAAAGGCCTCGTATTATATGTCAAAGTGCGTGAAAGAACCGACAACGATTAGGTGGGTATTCGAGCGTATGTTAAAATCGAGAAGGGATCATACAAAGTGAAACAAAGTTCAAGCGTGCACGCGCGACACACAAGCGGGCATGTGCGGTGAACCGATTTTATTTCGCCTTCACCTTTCGAATTGAAATCATTATTTTGCGGCATGTACCGTGCGTTCAATTGGCTGCAACTTTTTTATTTTTAGATATATCAAGGGAAACAAATGACGTATAAAACAAAACTATCGATTTTCCGACATATAAGCTACATCATATTTTTTTAAAAGGAACACCCTGTATATTATATATCGGCGAAAATAGGATATTTTTATATAATATCAAAGAGTGCCACGACCGACAAATAACGATATGTTGATGTTTGACATAACAGTAAACAACGTTGATGGCTGAATCATTATTATTGAAATGGTCTATAGCTTGAAAGGAGTGATATTTTCTGAATAATAAAAGCGAAAAAAATAAATTATGACAAGCTGGTGCGTTAATGCACCACCTATGATTTTTTTTGTCACATCCAGGAAATATTATTAATCGCTAATTTATGTGTAAGGGAAAGATCTTATATATGACTTCAAAAGCGGTTCATAAATTTGTATCACATTTTCAAGTAAATCCGAAATAGTAAAAAAAAATATTTTGGACTAGGATTGCCATTTTTGTTAAGCATGTAAATTATATCGCAGAAAACATACATTGGAAATACTATATTGATTATGCTTTATTTTTTTAAAATACTTACTGGTGCGTGAATGTACCAGTGGTTTTATCTGTGAAACAAAACGTGACAAGTCAGCGCATCCAACAATTAGCGTGTTCTTTAGTATTGGTTTGTGCCTTGTACAGTGAACGTTACACTATGGTATTTCCGAGGTATTTGATTCAAAAAGAATTAGAGACGGCTATGGAGGAGATCGTGATGGATGAGGACAATAACATGGTAAGTATTATTTCATCATTCATTTCATTAGTTCATTCCTTGTAAATTTATACTAAAAATAACGTGAGAAAATATTTACAGAACATATTGACGCGGTCTATATTCCACCCGACGTGGATGCCTTGACTGACAGGGAAGATATGAACGATAACATAAATCTACAAGAGTTTGATATAGTTGGAACTTTCGAGTTACATACACCGAATGATACAGCTGTCCTTCAATAGTCCTGTAATTCATCAACTACTGAACCTCATCAGATGATGAAACCATGGAATTCAAAATGAGACTTATGCTTTCTGCAAACCGCAGGCTTGCTTCTACTGTCAAATGGAAGAAAGGTTAGATTGAGTACACTCACACACCTATATCGGATGAATTTAGATCATGTGAGGAACTAAAAAATAGGCTTTCTGGAAAAACTCCGCTTGAAATATTTTTTTGTTTTTTGATGACGAAGTGATTGATTTGATTTTAAATCTTACATTGCTTTGCGACTTTTAAAAACTGATAAAACAATTACTCAAAGAAATCTTGCACCTGCCATTTGTGAACTGCGTTATGATAATCAAGGACACCTGTTGATTGTTCATGCTAATAAAGCTCGAAGGAGATGTAGAATCTGCCACAGCCACACAATTTACGTTTGTAATAAATGTAATGTGTATTTACATGCTTCATGCTTTGTAAAATATCACCACAAATGAAACTAGGTGTTACCAGTGGTGCGCTCACCCACCATAAAATATCCGTTTTTTTTTTGTATCAAATCAGGTTGTATTTGGAGAACAATCTACTTTTAGTTGTGTTCTGTCAAATTTGGACTTTCTTTTGTATATTTATGTATAAATTTTATGTTAGATCCAAAGTGCCCCAAAACATTATTTAATGTTTTTTCCCAGTGGTTTGTTTACGCACCAGTATTTTTTTATATGTTCGAGTTTTTATTTTTGTTTTTTTTTTGACACATGTAATGTATTCTTAAGTGCAACAAAATAAATAATTTCAAAGCAAAAAAGTATTTTTTTATTTTTTTTTTATGCTTGGGATAATATGGGTTAATCTTCGTACTTGCTTACCGCTGCTGTTCAAATTCAAAAACGTATTGGTTAATTTTCATCGAGTATTGTCATTTGCAGACGAGAAAAAAGTGCGTTTTACAGCTAAACCAAATACAATTACTGATTAGACGACGAAGTCGACAAGACTTTGCAATTAATTAACTTACGGGAACAAGTGCGAGAGAAAGAGAGAGAGGGAGGTGTTTTGCGAGTCCACGCAGTCGAATGGAAATGAATGCATAATGTGACCTTCAACCCCGGCCAAGCGAGAAAGTAGCGAGCTAGCGTGAGCGAAATTTAGCTTTGCACTTGAAATGTCGACGGATTTTTTGTTTATTTCATTGAAATTGAAAGCCGAGTCGCATGATCGACTACTTCCCAAGCGGTATTTTTAGTTGCTTCTGAAGTTGAAAAAATTTTGCACTGAATTTTAAGAAGATGGAAATTTTCTAAACAAAATATATTTAATTGGAAGAATAAACAATTTTGGTCCACCAAAATCCAAGGAATAGCTTGCCAACAGTACCGACCTGAATCCTTGTGAAAATTTTTGGTGATAAGAGAAAGACCATATCGTTTTACAAGATTTAAACAGAGAAAACGCTGATTTTATCACCTCATATATTAATAGGAAATTGAAAGGAAATATCTTCCTCAGTATAACCCATTTGAAATATATTTAAGTTATTTAACTTACGCTGCAGATCTTTAGTTTTGATTAGTTGTCAAAAGTAAAACATTGATAAAACAAATGCAAACTTAGATAACATAGTTGCTATCATGGCAGACTTGGCCATTTTAAAAAGTGAAATACCTAAAAAACGGCTAAATGAAATAAAATAAATAAATGAAAAAACTTTTTAAAATCAAGGAAAATATCTACGAATTAAGCTATTAATAAATAGGGCATTCCATTTCGTTTGTTTTTTTTTTGACACTTGCATATGATAATAGAGCAAACATTTTCCAACGTATTTACACTTTTTTTTCTATCTTTCAAGATAAACCCCGTAGGTGGGTGTCAAATTGTAATGAATAACCCTGTATAGTCAACAATCCCCTATTAGGCAAACGAATAAAGGGAATTTTATTATACAGATAGCGAGGCGACTTATTTTCAATGATCTTGAAATAAAAAGA